TAAGGATGTTGGCTAATATATTGCACAAACAATGTTTGGGATCACATATTCCTCCACTAAAGCCAAATTTCAAGTAAAAAATTGTGTGGCAAGAAAGTGAGTATGGGGCGTGTGAAGGGTCATTTCACTAGTTCTGGTATGAAGCCACATCTGCAAAGACACCACAAGACTTTCTAAGGGAAGAACCAGAATAAGAATACTATGGCAAGTAGCAACTAAATTTGAATCTGCACAGCTGTCACTAGTTACAACCATCAGGGCTGCCATCAGGGGGTGACAACCATGATGAATCTCATGGGCCTAGCGGCCTGTGCTCCATGTGTAACGGCGGAACTGCTGCCGGTGTACCTGCACTCGGGCCCACATGCGGATAGGGCCCATAGGGTGGCCCGAGCATTTAGCTCTGTAGCCGTTTAATAGCGTGACTTGGCCCCTTTAAAAATGCCAGCCACTCCGCAAGTACTGCTGGGAGGAAGTGACAGCTGGTCACTTCCTCCCAGCTTACTCTGTGCGGGAGGGAAGAGACAGACTGGAGACAGACTGGAGACAGCTAGGAGGGGAGAGGCAGTTGACCAGCTTTCATGTCTATTTGGTAATGTCTTAAAATAAGTGATACTTAACAAATAAGTTCTGGTGATACTTTAGTCGCCGCTGCCCATGATGAAGAAAGGGACCTTTTAGAGTGAGCCTTAAGTCCTTCTGGGATCTTTATTTTAGATGCTTTGTAAGCTTGGATGATGGCAGATACGATCCATCTGCTGATGACTACTTTGGATACTTGAAGGCCTCTCCTGGACCCGTTAGGAATAATGAACAATCTTTGAGAGATACGCCATGAGGATGATCTTTGCAGATAAATTGACAGACATCTCACCAAATCTATGGAAGAGGGATCGGTTACTTCTCCATTATCTAGTTGCTCTGAATGCAGTTCTGGGAGCACTATCTCTTCATTAAAGTGGAAGGCTGAGATAACTTTTGGTCGAAATTCTGGAACTGTTCTTAAAATTACTCTATCTTTGTGGAAGACTGTAAAGGGTTCTTTAGCCGATATGGCATGGAGTTCAGACACCCTTCCACCCGAAGCTAAGGCCACCAATAGAACTGTCTTAATGGTGAGGAAATGAGGAGAAACAGATTCTAGATGTTAAAAAGGGTGACAACTCAGGGCTTTTAAAACCAGCGGTAAGTTCCATGGAGGAGCAAAAGGCTTAATAGGAGGCTTTATCTTTAGTACTGCTGACCTGAATCTGGTCACATCTGTGTCAAAGGCCCATTTGTGGTCAGTAAGGGCCAAAAGAGTTGAAATATGTACCTTTAAGGTATTATAGCTTAAACCTTTATTGAGTCCTAGTTGCAGGAATTCCAGAATATCTTTAGTAGAGGCTGTCTGAATAGCTATCTGTTTAGACGTTGCCCATTCAGAAAAAAAATCCCAGATTCTGTAATACGTGGTGGAAGTAGAGCGCTTCCTAGCCTGCAACAGAGAAAAACCTTTTTCTTTAAACCCTTCCCTTTCAAATTCCACGCCATCAGATTGAGGGAGGCTGGATCTGAGTGGAGAACTGGGCCTTGTTGTAGTAGAGAAGAAATCTTTGGAAGCTGCCAAGGTTTTGCTTTACAGAGACTCAACAGTAGAGGAAACCATGGTCTGCGTGGCTAAAAAGGAGCTATGAGAATGATGGATACTCTCTCTTGTCTCAACAGTCTCAGAAGGGGAAAGATGAGTGGAGTAGGAAGGAATGCATATCCTAGGTTGAATTGCCATTCGCTTGACAGAGCATCTCTTCCTATTGCCTGTGGGTCGATACTTTTGGAGAAGAAATCTTTTACTTTTCTGTTCTTCTAGGAAGTCAGCTATCGAATTCTGTATTCTAGGAAGATGAACTGCAGATATACCTGCTAGATGTACCTGCGTTAATGACATCAGTGAAAACTTCCCTACACAAATCCAGTCTATAGTGTAAGAACTATCCTTCAGTGTGAAAAATTCCCTTTATTCAACTTAAAATTACTCATCCTGCTGCTCCCCATTTTCTAATAATACAAAATTGCAAGGAAAGACAATCAATCATCAAGTTAAAGGGTCTCTCACTGCATTTCTTTGGATACAGCTATAATTATATTTATCATTGATAATTCTTAGCCACTAGTCTAGGCAGCTTTGGCATTGCAGCACACTAATAGGTGTTTTTTCCAACCTTTTTTAATTAATGTTTATTTGAATATTTTTTCATGCATGATATTTGGACAGATATTTTTTTCCAGATGAAGTAGTTTGACCGAGCCTAATTTTTCCCTTGGTGAAGATGCCCAGCTTCTCTTGCAGGAGAAAATCAGACGTGGTTCATATTGCCCAGGTAACAAAGGTAAGTTGTCAAACCAGATTTCTCATTGAGGGTGCAAGAGCACGCAGCAGAACACAATCACTATAGCAGGCTGTAGTGGTTATAGTATTTGGAGTGTTTTGTAAACAGTTCACGCTATGAGATAATTTGCCAAGCCACAAACAAATGTAAAAATTAATTAGGTAATTGACACAATGCATGTAAGTTCCTTGTATTATTTTGAGTTAATTATTTTACTCCTTAAGGGCTTTGCCATCATTAAAATTTGGTCATTGAAAATTTTATGACAGCATGGACAACCCTGCTTACTTAGCTGTTTCCACTCAATAAAGTCATACAGTTACTAAATAAGTGCATCATTTCATTTTGGAAACATGTCGAGATATACCATTATATGTTCTTTAGAAGTTAAAGCATATATCTCACATTATGTATAACATTGCTCTCTGTATTCTCTATTAGTAGGAAAATATTCAGAGTCAGCATTTGTCACAGACATGGACTATAAACTCAATTCCTTATAAGTAAATTTTCCCACAGAACAGGAATTCCTCCTAAAGGAACTAGGTATGATACCCAGGTCATATTTACTTGGCTGAGATTATAGTACTTTCATTAAATCAGCGTTATGATTATTTAATCATTCTTCCTGCTGTGGAAGTGAATGATTTTCCCTTGACATTTATTATGTCTTAAAATTGGCACACTATAAAGCACAATACAATATACATATTCATTTTGCCTTTCATGTGAGCCAAAAATGAGTTAACAGTATTCACCAAAAAAAAAAAAAATTAAATATGTATGCTGAACTGTACATGGCAAAGGATTCACCATAAAGACGTTTGCCATCACCTAAGGGTCCCATACAAACCAGTGACTAGACAAATATATAGTATAGTATTTTTAAAACTGCATTTTGTGTGTGTGTGTTGTTCCCTAAACTGCATATTATATCAAATTGCAATAGTACATACAAACATACAACCGCTTTCAAAGGACAACAGATGCTAAACAGAACATAAATCATTCCTCATGGCTTATGAGACAAACATGGGATATCAACATGTCATTACACAGGATGACCAGAACCTCCACATATTGATGGGCAGCCCATAAAAAGGGTAGCACTATAGTATGTAGAATTCAGAAGAAGGTGTATTAGTTTAAGCAATTAGTCAATTAAGAATTCTGTGTTTAAGCAATTAGGCAATAATGCACAATATGCATTATACACACTTCACGGCAACCCTTTTCACAAGTTTTCATAAATATGAGACACTTATATGTGTCCCTGTAAACATGGTGGATCTGGTCACCCTGCTCATACAAAAAGGTTAAAAATTACATTATCCTACTAAATCAAATAGAAAGAAGGGTTGGGTAAGTCGATACCAGAAAAACAGTGGGATTAGATTGTTCACCTACCATGCCAGGACTTGATAAATTGCTTCTACCGGGATTACATTTCAAATTAATGAGTCACAAATATAGGACCACTCAAACTTTCTAGGGCCAATCCCATTTAAAGCTGGTGCTGTGGAAGGTATTCTGAAACAAAACTCCACATCTGGTGGGGCTGTCCATTGATAGCAACATTTTTGGATTGCAAACAGGGCCAGACTGGGAGAAAAATTCGGCCCGGGCATTTTTTTAACACAGCGGCCCACTAAAAAGGGGGCGGGGCAGAGGAGGTGTGTTTTGTCATCACCAATGACAAACACGCCTCCTCTCAAAGTGAGCATGTTGGTTCAATGCTCTTCCAGGGCAGACCATGCGCAGAGCTCTGCTGAAGAGCTCTAGCATGAGAAAAAAGTCCTGTATTTGTTCTGCACAGTGCAAGCAAATTTAATAACATGCTTGCACTGTGTTTCCTTGCAACTTGTCTCTGGTGTCTTTATAAATGGATACCAGGAGACAAAAGGCCAGGAAAGAGTATTGTGCATATGTTTGGAGCCTGCTTGTGGTATTGCGTGTGTGTAGAGTGAGCTGGTCGTGGTGTGGTATTGTGTAATAAGGTCGGTTTTAGTCGTGTTGTGTTTGTGGTGTAATGTGATGCATATGTGGCTCAGGGACCTTTTTCCAGCACCGGGCGGGGAGCTCTCCTCCTCCGATCCGCCCCGTCCCGTCGGCTGAATGCGCAAGCGCGGCAAGAGCTGCGCGCGCATTCAGCCGGTCGCATAGGAAAGCATTTATAATGCTTTCCTATGGACGCTTGCGTGCTCTCACTGTGATTTTCACTGTGAAAAGCACGCAAGCGCCTCTAGCGGCTGTCAGTGAGACAGCTGCTAGAGGCTTTGGGGGAAGGCTTAACCCATTGATAAACATAGCAGTTTCTCTGAAACTGCTATGTTTATAAAACAATGGGTTAACCCTAGAAGGACCTGGCACCAAGACCACTTCATTAACTGAAGTGGTCTGGGTGGCTAGAGTGGTCCTTTAAGAGTGTAGTGTGTGTGTGTGTGTATATGGAAGTATTGTGTATGTGTGTGGTGCAGTGTGTTGGGGGGTTCTGTGTGTATGTGAGGGGTGCAGTATGTGTGTGTGTGAGGGGTGCGGTGTGAGTGTGATGGGTGTGAGAGTGCTGTGTGAGATGGGTGTGAGAGAGTGCTGTGTGAGAGTGCTGTGTGTGTGTGTGAGTGCTCTGTGAGAGTGCTGTGAGAGAGTGCTGTGAGTGTTATGGGTGTGAGAGTGCTGTGTGTGTGAAAGTGCTGTGTGTGATGGGTGTGAGAGTGCTGTGTGAGAGAGTGCTGTGTGTGTGTGAGAGTGCTCTGTGAGAGTGCTGTGTGTGATGGGTGTGAGAGTGCTGTGTGTGATGGGTGTGAGAGTGCTGTGTGAGAGAGAGCTGTGTGTGATGGGTGTGAGTGCTGTGTGTGATGGGTGTGAGAGTGCTGTGTGAGAGAGTGCTGTGTGTGATGGGTGTGAGAGTGCTGTATAAATGTTATTGTGTGTGTAGGGGGGCTAAATAAAAAAAAAATTATTCCCCCCCCCTTCTTACCTTTAGCCTGGGAGGGGGGGGGGACCGGCACGCTGGGACTGGGAGGGGTGGGTCCGGCACGCGGTGTTCCCTGGTGGTCCTCGTGGGTGAGTGAACTCTAGCCTGTGAGGCTAGAGTTCACTCTCGCGAGATCCGGCGTTGCCATGGCAACGCGCCGGATGTCGCGAGAGGAACCCGGCGGAGCTGCAAGTTAGAGCTCCGCCGAGTCCTCTCTCCAGCCTAGCTGGCTGTCTCCCTCCCTCCCCGCCGGCGGCCGCATGTGGGCCGGTCAGGGAGATCCTTGATCTCCCCACCGGCCCGTCGTGGCAAACAGCGGGGCCGGCGCTAGGAGAGTGCCGGCCCTGCATAGACCGGCAGGGGAGATCCTGGGACCTCCCCTGCTGGCCTCGGCCCCACGGACACCGCGGCCCACCGGGCATTTGCCCGGTGCGCCCGATGGCCAGTCCAGGCCTGATTGCAAATCACAGTCTGTTGATAGAAATTTTGGCCTCTTCACTCTCATTTAGAGCTAAAACAATGCTTCTTCACAACACTTCACTATCCATCTCTTTACCAAGACATTTCCTCTGTGTAGTTCAATCTATATGTAGTGAAGTGTCATAGTACACACTGTGTTAAAATGGATAGGCAGGTTTATGATATCTGGGCAATGGGGATGATGACAGCTTTACTGCTATATAGAATGGATAAGAACATGGGCACTAGATGCAAATCTAGCACAAACTAGGAGATTTTGATTATTAATAATATTAATCACGGTTGTCCACCCTCATATCACCATTGCTTTACTTAGTAGTCACAACAGACCTTTCTCATATTAAAATTGTGGTATAGCCATACTGTTGTAAACAACATTTGAAAAAAGGGAAACAGTAATATATATATATATTTTTTTATTTTTTTTTTACAGTAATCATTTCTACACAACTAGTGTAACTAAAAAATAATACCTCAAAATAGATTAATTTATTACACATAAATTAGGAAATGCCTTCTATGTCTAGGATTTCAATCAGGACACCCTCAGTTCCTCAAAGAAGAAACAAGAAAAAAGACAACCACTACTCCAGTTGATGTGTCAAAGAAAGTCCAACTGGATGTGGACTCAGAAATGTTCTGACCCAGGTTTGACAAAAACCCTTGTTGAGTGAATACATTGCCAGGTCCAAACTCTGGTTGCAGTCATCTTTATTTCTGGTTTATCCACAAAAAATTTATGAGATTAATTCTTTAAGTCTAAGATACATTTTCTCTCTAATGCATAAAGAATATTTATGGTCAGTGCTTGATTTGAAAAATTATTCAGTTTATAGTAGTATAGCACTTCTGTAGTACCTGCATTACTGCTGTTAGGGAGTCATTGGTTTTATCAATTTTTTCATTACCTTATCAGCAATGAGAGATAACCACATGTGTGGTCTGATAACTGTAGTTTTTGTGCTAAGGTTTCCATTAAGAAAGAGAGAAAGAAAGAAAGAAAGAAAGAAAGGAGTGAGGTGAAAAGAAAGCCCCTAGAGGGTTCCATTCGAATTGAAGTACAGTGGTTTACGAATTTAATACGTTCTCTGGGACGTTTTGCATTGCGAAAAAGTTGTAAACCGAAACGTGGTTTCCCATAGAAATGCATTAACCCCTTATGGACTGAGCCAAATGTACACGTTGTGATCAAAACAAAACGTATACAAAAACTTGAATTTGCGCTATATGTCTGTTCAGGGGTAATTCGCCTCTTTCATATTATGTGCACCCACACTTATTATATATCATTTTATTCAGGGGAAACAGGGCTTTCATTTAACATCAAATATTTAGGTATAAAACATAATTTAATATGAATAAAATATAAAAAAATTGGAGAAAATAAGAATTTAAAAAAAAAAATTGTTCTATGTGACATTCTAACTGTGAACGTCATAATACTGTTTGCTTTTACTGCAATAAAATACACATATTTGTATTCAGCAATGTCTCACGTATGAAACAGTACCCCCTATGCACAGGTATTATGATGTTTTGGGAAGTTACAGGGTCAAATCTAGCATGTTACATTTTTCCATTTTTTCACATTGAAATTCGCCAGATTGGTTACGTAGCCTTTGAGACCATATGGTAG